GGCTAAAAATACAATTTAAACATAATTAAATACTTTTTGTTCAGTAATTAAGACAAATTAGCCAAAAAGTATTAAGATATTAACCAAAATATATGGTTAAATATGCACATATCACCTCATATGATATTCTAAGAATGAAAGAAAGCTTTTGAGATAGACACACAAAGTTCTTCTTTCCACATCTAGAAATGAAAATTATTTAATGGATTGACCAAAATTTGTTTTGTGGCTTGGCATGAGTACTGTGAAATTGGTCAAGTCGTTTATTTTCATTTAAAATTTGACCATTAACGGGTGCGTTAGGAAACCTTGAAATTTTTAATAGTAGTGAGATAATAGAGAAATTGGTAGATCCAACTATTTAAAATCCATTGTAAGAAGTTTGTAGGTTTTGAGGGGGTGTTAGGTGGTGATAAAAAAATCCTTGTCTGATGATTAAAGGGAGAGATTACGGGAAGGAAATAAGGTTGCTCCTTAACCTGTTGATAAAATATACTTTCTTTCAATGCCCTATCAAGTTGAGCTTGCTCTTCTCTATTTAAGTCCTTGGACTGTTGAAGTGACTTCTTTGGACTTATCTTATATGACTGCCATGTTGCCACACTTTTTCCTTTTATCTTTGACTGAAGCTCCGTGAGTGATAGGATCAATGAATTTCCTCTCGGCTATCTACGACTGTTTGATATGCTTTTAGGGCATCTGCTAAGTCTAATTTAGTTTTAACTGTTGGATTAAGGTGTCTAAGGTCCTAACTAAATTGGTATAATATTGATGAATAAAAGTAAAGTCCTTTTGGGGTTGCCCTCATAACCAGGAAATGGTTTGGATTGATCAAAGGAAAGAGATAAATGATTTATTAATATATTATATGATTAATATACTAATCAGAAATGGTAATAATTAATTAAGAATTAATCAAAATTAATTTTGGGTTAATTAGATTTAACTAAAGGTACAAGGATTGAGTTGTAATTGTTCAATAGTTGAACAAAAGAGAGGATCTAGAACCCTCCTAAGGGGTGGACCATTTTTACACCCTTGGATAGGTCTCCTGGAAGCCTCCAACTGATAAAAGGAAACTAGATAAATACTGATTTGAAATATTATTATTTTAAGTTCAAATCTAGGGATTCTGGGATTATCAAGCAGCTATATAAAGGGGATTAACCCTTGTATTTTTGGCTAACCTATTCCACAAGGGAATTCTAAAAATTCTCCTTCCTTTCCCATCTCTTCTTCAATCATAGGGTTTCTTGAGTTTTAGGTGTGATGCATTAGAGGCTACCATACTTTTAGAGCTAGTTTTCCAAAGAAACTACAAAGGGTTTTTGATTAACTTGTTTCAAATCAAGCAAAAGGTATGTGGTTCTATTCATGAATTTAATTTCATAGGGTTTATAGTTTTTGTTTCATAAGTCTGTTGTTATTAATAGTGAAAAGACATATATCCAATTTAGGTTGCATGTACCCTTAAAAGTTAAGTGAAATTTCGCATGTATAATTGAATTGTACCTAAAAACCCCAATAGTGGTATCGGATCCATGCATTTTGAATTGATAGTGCATAATAGATGAAACAAAAAAAAAACAAAAAAAATTCGACAATTTCTTCTGGCCACGACATGGGTAGCCCTCTGCTACGTCGTGGAAACTGCTTGAAATTTGATTTTGAGATTATCATGCCTTATTCAAAAGATAGGATTATTATTAGTTAATACATCTTATTTTAAATGTTTAAAATCTGAATATTATAACTAGATAATTAGAAATCCTAATTTAAATAAAAATAAGTTTTGAATAAGGTAATTTTCCAATTGTAAGATAATATAGTTATCCTTTGATAATATTTATATTAACTAATTAAAAGTTTAATTAAGGATAATTCATATATCTTATTTTTGTTCAAATATTAATTAATTAAAGGTTAATTGAATTAATATGATTTGAACCTTGAAATTTAAAGAGTTTTAAAATACACCTTATACATATGTATAAGAGTATAATACTATATGTATCATTAAAACTTAATAGTCAGTCGAATCTCTAGTACGCCTCATTCATGAAGCCATACTATAAGAGATGTATAAAGAAACGAATTATAAAATGACCGTTGAATGAGTGTCCTTTTCACCCACTGCTTCTTTGTATGGTGGAGGGTCGTTAGCCGAACATATTTAATAGGAAATAATCACATTAAAAGTATAATGTATAACATACTAGAACCTTCTATAAAATCTCACTCTAGTTACTTTAGGAAAAATATGAAATTGTATGCTAATCCATGAAAACGCACATCATTTCTTTGTGAGTCGTTAGTGGAGTGTGTGTGGTTAATCGACACAGCAATGTGGGACTACAAATATGAAATGAGGGCACATACTCGAATTTATGGTTATTGATGGAGCGCGTGTGGTTAACCGACACATCAATGCGAGATCATAAATGACCTCGAGCATGTCACGCGGGTTTGCATGGTTATTCATATCTTGTTTGTGATCATCGACATCCCAATCACAAATTGAAGAGCATAATCTGAGATTAAACATGCCATTGAACAATTCAATGAATCTCAAATGATCTAGGAATTTCATATTATATCTAAACTTTTACTATCATTTTTGGAGAAACAAAGTTGATATCCATTTGCAACATCATAATTTCATAACACGCTCTTAAGCTGTTTAGGGTTCTCAAATCTCATCCCTAAAATCGGATTTTGTTGTTTCCAGTGTAAGGGTTGGATTAAATGTAGCATGGACTTCCTCATTTACATTCTATTATTTCTCATCATTTACTACATTCTCTCCTACATTAGGACACAACTTAGCTAGAAAATCATCATCAATGCTCTTGTTTAACTAAGTAATATCATCTTGAATGATTTCATCTTCAAACATAGAGGATTTTTCTGTAGGTTCTCTATCCTCGCCAATTCTCTACCCTCACCAAGTTCTTTATCCTCGCCAACTTACTTATCCTTACCTTATATTATAGACCCAATTTCATTATTATTTGAGTCAAACCAGTCATCCAAACCATCCCCAATATGGTCCAAATATATGTATATTGATATTTCGGGTTCTTCATAAGTTATATCTAGAAAATGGACGTAATCTAATTCATTTTCTATGGACCTAATGCCATATGATAAAGGTCGGTTCCTTAGGCACTAGTAAAGTTTCTTAATAACTTCTCCTATGAATCGTTGAAGGAGCTCAGCACACCCACCCAAATCCATTCCGACAAAATCAACATCGATAAACAAGAAATTATCACCTCCAGTATAAGAACGTGGGGATATGACAAAAACACCATTAAAGTTTAGATCTACTTTCAGATAAATACCATCTGGATTGTTATTTGCCATGCAGTTTAGTTCACGTAACATACTATGAAAAAACCAGAGATCAACAAACACTTACAGAGAAAATGTCGTCTTTGTAAACTTTAGTTGTCGTCCCTCTCTTTTACTAATACATATCGATGCTTTTTCTCTTTGAGTACCATGTAATTGAAATCGAAAGAGGGTTAAACAATTTTTTTTAAGTTCATCACTGGTGGAATAAGTGATGTGGACAAAGGAGAAGGGCAATTCAATCAGTCAAGGTCCATGTCACTTAAAATACCGACAAACCTTCTTTTTTTCTTCGAAAAATGGCAATTGGGACGGGTAGTTTTTGAGTTAAATTATTTAAAAGGTGCAAAAAAAAATGTTAACTGACCATTTACGACCAAAAGTCTAACTTTATGGGGTTTTCATGACAAAAACCCTAATAAATTTTATCAAAAAGAAAAAATACTTATTATTTATTTCAAATCTTTTAAGGCTTTTAGTGTGCGACATAATCTCATATATAATCAGTTAGTATAATTTTTTCGCACACATATTCCGATATTAACATGTTACGACAAGATCATTTAAAGTATACTATTTTGTTTTATTTAACATTTCCAATTTAAATTATAATTTCCTCTAAATTCAAAACAATTAAAAAAAATAGTGTTTTTTCTTAATCTAGACAATTAATTCTCATGATAACTTTTGTCATTATACTTCATTAATTATCTTCGTCATACAAAATTTCGACCATTGGTTTCAAATGAATTCATTCCTAACACCATCTCAAATCGGCTAACAGCATAGACATAAAGTAACCGCGAAGGCCTTATCATCAATAGCCATGATGCAACCGTCATACACATGTACCGTTTAGACTGCCAATTGTTGTCTAGATCACAACATTACCCAATATAACATGAAACAATTCCAAAGCACTCACAACACCATAAACCCTAAACTGGCTGACATAAAAGACATGTTTTGCATGGTACAAAATAAAATAGGATTATGGCTCTTTTTGGCCAGACTATTATAATTTAGAAATTTATGTTATTTGTTCTAATTATAGACTTCTTTTTAGTTCCAATTGGGGTCGATGGTGATGGGGTAGTAGGGTCGATACTCGATGGTGTTGTGGATACATCATCTTGTCCCACTAAGGGTCCGGCTGGCTCAAAGCCCATAAACCTATAACAACGCTCTTGCCTCCGGACTCTATGAGTCCGGACCTCAAACTTTCGGGGTTCGGGATAATCAGTTATAGGACCTAATTCTTGACTCGAAACTTTAAAAGTTGGATGAGTGAAATCTTGGACATATCCTTACTCAACTATAAATTCCAATAATAAACTAGCAAGACAATTCCACCCTTTCTCTTTTCCATGGTAGCCCTGATGCCAAAAAGTGACATAAACCTAATACAATATTGCCAAAAAATATAAAATAGCAAGAGTTGTGTGTAGATTTCCCGCATTTAAAACAGTTTGGCAGTTTGGGCTTTCACTTCCATATAAGATCTTAATGTAAACAATTCACGAAAAAATGTACTCATATTTGAATCCAGCACAATCTATAATACATCATGGTGCGGAAAAATCTTGTCAAGCAATTAGTTTAAATCGTATTAAACATTTGTTATTCGTTAAGTCAATATTCAATCATATCGGAACGTTTAATCATGCTTAATCGATCACTTAATAGTACATATTGACACGCTATTGAAGTATTTCATAAATACCCACATACCACTAACTACACAAGTATCATGTATCATGCACCCATATCTGCATTTGTATCATATTATCCGTATCCATATCAGTATCCGTATCCAGTATAACTAATCGTCATCAGGATCGGCCGAGAAGTCAGGTTCATCCGGCTTCTGTAACTTAATCAACTCAACATCCTTCGTTTTCAACATCCCTCGCCTCGTATTCGCTGCAAATCTCGAAGCCAATATCGTAACATTCAAATTCTGCTTCGCCGGATTCCCATCATACACCGCCTCCGCTGCCGCCTCCTCGTGGTGGTCCATTTCATCCATCCGCTCATCATCATCATCATAACCATGATGATGATCATCATCATCATCGGGCCTATACGACGATTCACTCATACTAAGATTCCACGCCATTCTCCGCTTCTTAATCCGCCGCCAAGCCGCCTGAATAAAACAAGCCGCCCATGTCCGCCAATGATACGAGTAAAACCTAAACGTGTGTTGAAGTTTTTTACTGTGTAATCGCCGGAACTGATTAGCAACAAACTTTAGATCCTCGGCACGTAATGCAAACGCTTCCACTTCGCTTAGGGCTTTTACGGTTCTCGTTGAAGATGGTAAATTTAGGGTCGATTTCGGGTGTAGGGCCCACGCAAGCAACTCTTCGCCACAAAAATCACCGGGCCGTAAAGTAATCGAATTGAAAAAACCAGTTCGGCCTCCGTTAGTTGTTGAACTATCGAGTCTTCCCCGAATGATAAAAAGCATTTCTGAAACCGGATCGCCTTCCCGTACTATGAACGTGCCTTGGGTGCTTAACGACGAGACTAATCGCTCGCATATCGCGTCGAGTAGTTGATCATCCATTTGTGAGAAAAACGGGACCTACAAACAAAGAAGATATGACACTATTAGCGTCCCACATCAGCTAGACACAGTCCTGTCTGTCTCTATATATATATTGGAGTCTAATAAAGACACTATATATTTTAACATGGTATCAAAGCCAGTGTCTAGCAGATATTTATGTCTAGCAGACATATAAGACACGTAATTTGATGATTATGTCGGAACTGCAAATCTTACACGTCGAACGAGATCGAGACACAAGTGGCGTTGGATATCTCGACGGAGATCGGACGGTAAAGCGCGTAAAATAGATTCTTCATCAACTCCGCGTGTTGCGAGCCATTTATACTGTACGAACTTGCGGACACGTTCTTGTAAGTCGTTTGGGAGCTGGCGGTGTCTCATCCATTCCTCGGTGTCTCGCCGCCTCAGCCGCCACTCCTCAAGCCTTACCGTGATGGATTGTAGGTAGGTCTACAAGAATGTAAAGTTTGTTAAAAATAGGATTAAGTGTGATAAATAACAATGTAGTTTCATTTATTTGTTTGTTATGGCAACCTATTTTCATTTCGTCCTATTACAACGGTAAACTTTAAGAATCTACCTAATTATAGCAATGTCATTCCAATATAGTTTCGTTCATATTTTTATGGGCTAGATGCAAGAAATAGCAACGTACTTTTATGTATTTGTTTATTATAGAATTGTACTTCGTTTCTTTTTATATAGCATTGTAGTTCCAATATTTTTCTTATCAAGGCGTTGTACTTTGAAAAATCTACCCATTTATTGCATTTTTTTACATTAATTTATTTAATATAGCACCCTACTTTTATTTCACCCTATTACAACATTGTACTTTGAAAAATCTACCCAATTATAGAAATACTCAAATACAAAGAAATTTATGCTGTTATAATTGAATATATTTTTCAAAGTATAATGTCCTGATATGAAATAAAAATTCAAAACACAATGCTATTTGTTTTTTTGAAGTACGATGTTGTAATAGAACAAAATAAAAGTATACAACTAAGATATAAAGTATCTTACACATGGATTAGAATTACATCGATTTATTTGAAAAAAAAAAGTGCAATATATTTACCTGCATATTTCCAATTAAATGTGCAAATAATACGAGCCCCATAATGGCAATGAGTATGGCAAAAGATGTTTCTCCAATATATGTGCTTGTGGACAAATTCTGTCCATACGAACTGCATGCAATAAAAACCAATCATTACTTTTTACATTAAACTCTATGAAAAATACAAAAAAAAAAAAAAAAAACAAAAAAACTTGGAACTTTCATCATCATTTTAACAAAATATTAGTGGAACAATACCTCAAATTTTGTAAGCCCCACCATAAACAGTAGAAGTACTTTTCAACAAAGTTAGAGGAAACAACACCTTTTGAAACAGCATCTCCAAATATCCCATAATTAAAACCTTCAGGGTTATCAGGATCACAAATACTAAAAAGATTTGTCCCATTTGCCCATTTTATCCTTTCATCATCATTTGAAGAACCACAATCCAAATAAGGAAGAAAACATTTTATTGAAACATCATCATTTCTGCATGTGGATTTCCAACATGTTGCATGTCTTTCAAAAGACAACAAGTACCATGATGCCCCTAAAACCTACCAAAATAAATGTCAAATGATTTAGCTAAAAATCATATGTTGTATGCATACTTTGTATGTAAGAAATAGCAATGTACTTTCACTTCTTCTTACTATAACATTGTACTTTGAAAATTTTACCCAAATATAGCAATGTCATTGAAATACAAAGAAATTTCCACTACTATAAATGTGTAGATTTTTCAAAATATAATGTCTTTAATCTTTATAAGAAAAATGAAATAAAAAGTAGAATGTCTTAATAAGAAAGGGTTGCTTACATGACTAGCTAACATGTACAACACAAGATTATATGCAGCTCCAGCCCAAGCAGTTTTGGTGACAACTCCAGTAGCTTTAATGATTTGAGAGCTCAATGGAAAAATAAGATAGAATCTTGGAATATATTGAAGGAGCACAATTAATACAAGGGCATTTGTGGTATGATCAGCATGTTGTGTTCTAATAGCCGGAATAATAAACCATATCACAATCTGAATGAACATTTTCAAAAAGAATTCAAAGTTAGAATGTTATAATAGGAAGAAATGAATGTATGATGCTATAAGTTATGATAAACAAGTAAATGAAAGACCTGAGGAAGAGGCAAAGTGGCAACAAGATCAATGAAGAAATCCGACTTCATGTACCTTTTTGCTATTTTTTCAGGATCCATAACAAGTTCACCTCTTCCTAAAACTCGTGAACTTGGAGACACATAAGCTGTTCTGAACTTTATAAATATGTGCAACATGTAAAATATATCTGCAATTGTTCGTAAACAAGTAACAACAATCCCCAAATTCAAATCAGACAGCATACATGAAGAACCACCATTGATTTGTACTGAAGGGAGGTAGAAAAACAAGGGATCAACGAAAAGGGCGACTAAACAAGAGAAAAGAAACATTCTGTTCCATTGTAAGATCACTTCGCTTCCAGGATCTAAAACCCTTTTTCCGTTTAAATCGGTGGCTTCTTCTGGGTGAACTCTCGATTTCCCCAATTTAATAACACCCATATGACTTTTAGCGCCATTCGTTAGCAATGGGGCTGATGAAATCTTGTGTTCTGGTATTTGCTTTTCTGGGATTTGCCATGAATGTTCGAAGTTTGACTTTCCATTTTCGCCGGTGTAAAACCTATTGGATTCGATTGAAAATTTCAGCAATTGTTTGATGGAAGTTTGATACGTGATTGTAGAAGATGTATGAATAAGTAAATTGAGAGTGAAATGTGCAGAAATTAACCTGACTTGCTTCTCTTTCATGAAGTCCATGATGGTGAATTTGGGTGAAAAATTAGTGTTAGAGCGAAGATAGAACAAAACCCAGATGGAAAAGTTGCATTTTTTTACTTCAGAAACTGCGGTTTTTTCTTGTGGCTGATGTATTTCGAACCTTTTTATGATGTATATGAAGATGCATTTGTATATGGATTGATCAATCACAATGCAGGAACCCAACGAGATTTTGGGAATCTAAAAAATCGTGTTTGAGCAGAGTGGAGGAGAGAGAGGACCTTGTAGGAATTGAATGAGCTGAAACTGTGTTTTGGAAAGAAAATGGTAAATTACAAAAATAGTCCTTGAACTATACATTATTCTACATATTTTGACTAATTGAGTGCATTCTTTGTTATTTTAGTCCAAACTAATATACATCATTTACAAGTCTTCGCATGTAAAAGGCTACAAGTGTGATACATTCTTGTCAATTCACATCCTTTACCTCTTTTCATCCTTCAACTTCATTCTTAAATTAATCTTTTGAATTTTGTAAAAATGTGAAATTTCATTTAGCCTATATGTTTAGACTTTAGTTATACTTTTGTCTTTTAAATATTGCAAATTTATTTAAGTTTTTTATTTATAAATCAACAAATTCATGTGAAAAAGTAATAAAGAAAAAGTGGACTATAATATCATAAGAATATCTAAAATGGTTAGTTGTCCGTAGGAACTAAACAACATGAATCAACAACTCTAAACAAAAATCTCAAAACGAGAAAAAATCAACAAATTAGAATTATGTACTAGGATGAATGATCACTTGGAACTCCTATTATTGCAGCCATGTTTTACCCATGTTTATTGAGAGACCTACCATTTAAAAAATAAAATTACATGATGATGATATAAAGTGAAGGGACCACTTTTGTAATTTAGTCTAATAAAATGTTTTTTTGCCGGTGGTTGACTTTAAGTTGGTAAAAGTAGACACGAAATAACAAATATACATAATTCTCCTCAAGTATCCCTAATTTGCAGTTTTAGTCCACAAAACTATCTCCAAGCTTGCATGGACCGAATGTGGTATATGACTATATGCATGCGACAAAAATAAGACTTGGTTTGTGCATAATGGATATATCTCAATTTTTTTGGTCCCCTCACTCACCAAAAAGACAAATGTTGGTGGTACGATAAACAGTTGGAGGTACATATAAAGGTTGTCAAAATCAAGATCTTATTTAAAATCGTTTTACGTTTTGCAAGATCATGATCGTAAGATCGGATCCAGATCGTAACATTCTACCAAAATGAACTCATATTTAAATTTACCCGCAAGATAGTGTAATCAGTTTTAACTTCTTAAGCATTACCCGTAATTTTTGTTGCTACAAACCGTAAACATTAAGAATAAAATATCTTAATTAGAAATAAAATTATTTTGATCATGTACAAGTAAGACATAAGATCACAAGGGGATTATTATGTATGTGCCCTCCCTAACCCGAGGTGAATTGATAAAATTGTGATGCTCTAGAAGACTTCTTGCAACTTGTGACACTCGGTTTCGAGTTGAATAGATGAATTTTTGATACTCGGCTATATAATAAAACTAACGAGGTGAGATCGGAATCGTTTGATCGAGATCGTTTTTTCACTTGTAGGATCTTAAGATCGTAAAATCGTAATATCAAAATCGAGATTTTAACAACCTTGGTACATATAGAATTAATCTTTCTTTTTTTGGAACTTGAAACCGAATTACATTATTTATATTGATTTTAGTTACAGTTAAATAAAACATAGTTTATCCAATAATATATACTTGTCTTCTAGATCTTATAGGTGAACTAAAATAAACATATGTGTGAAAGAGAGATCTCATCCATTAGGATTGTAGACACCTAAATTAAATATGCTTAAAGTTACTATATATTTTAATTGGAAATCTTTAGAAAAATCTTAATATTTTACTTTAATTTACAAAAAAAAAATATATCAAACTAAAATTTATTTACGAAAAAGCATGAATTACCGATAAGAATGATGATTTGACCTATTTTTCTCGGTTTCATAACGTACTTGGTTCCATTAAAGTTCCATTATTTTACTATATTTTACGAATAAGTCTCAAACTAAAATTTAGTAATGATTTGACTATTTTGTCTTTGTAACATACATTTTTACCGGTTTCATTGCTGACCTGGACGCCTAATCATTAAATGAACTGATGAGATAAATATGTTGGGTTATATAATGTTATGTTTACCATAAAACTTGATATCCTGATGTATTGTATATTTTTTAGAATATAAAATGTATCCCACGAAGACTGCAATAATTACATAAACTAGCAACAACTTCGTCATTCTTTACGTTTATAAGAAATTTCAAATTGTCTATAGAATCTTATGCAACCCAATATATCAATCTTATAAGACATCGACTCATTTCCTGCCATTTTTTTCCTGAAAACACACATTTTACCTGTTTTATTGTTGGCTTAGATACATAGTCATAAATGAGCCGATGAGATGGATATCAAACTTTACAGTAAATGTAGCATTATATAATTCATCGTATCCATCTTATCAGCTAATTTAATGACTAGGTGTCCAAGTCAGCAATGAAACCGGTAAAATGTATGTTACATGGAGAAAATTGTCAAATCATCGCTAAATTTTAGTTTGTGACTTATTCGTAAATTAGGGTAAAATAATGAGACTTTAATGGAGCTAAGTAAGTAATAAAACTGTTAAACCGGAAAAAATAGGTCAAATCGTTATTTTTATCGCTAATTCATGTTTTTTCGTAAATAAATTTTAGTTTGAAATTTTTTCGTAAGTTAGGATAAATTATTAGGAATTTTATTTTAATTCAACAATTTATTTATTTCTCATTGTTATAAGATATTTTAAATAGTTTGATTAATAATAATAAGATATTTTAGTCGATTTATATATCTAACAAATATTAGGATGGGGTTAATTTGTGTTGTTGGTCTCTCAACCACTTTTGATTACGATTTTGAGGTGGGAGACTCATATTATGACAATTTTGAATTTGATTGGTTTTACAATTTACATCAAAAAAATTGTATACAAAACTTATTATTAAAAAGATGCCGGAATAAATATGCTATATTGTAGAAATATAGGGGGTGGTCATGTAAGTTGTGAAAACATAAAACAAAACTAAAAAACAGCTCACAGTGTTGACAAGCAGGGAGGTAAGAGGGGTCGTGAACGGCACAACCTGCGGCACTCTTTCGTGCAAAACGACAAAATCTTACTCGTCATATTAAAATAAAATATAATTTTTAGGTGGGTTAATATTGTTAACTAGTGACAATTGATGACACAACACGACAAAAATACACGATACGAAACGAATTGAGACGAAACTGAAATTCGAATTCATGTTCGTGTCAAGTGTAAAAAACACGACATCGTGTCGTGTCGTGTTCGTGTTCAAAATTTGACACGATTTAACATTTTTTGTCGTGTTTTTCGTGTTTGTCGTGTTTTTCGTGTTATGTATGAATAAATATGAATTAAATACATTAATTGTTATTTCATGTTATATTTGTCGTGTCGTGTCGTGTTTGTCGTTTTTTTAATCGGTTCGTTTTCGTGTTAGTTAGAAAAAATCCGAGATCGTGTCGTGTTCGTGTTACATAAAACATTGTCGTGTCGTGTCGTGTCAGACAAAAACACGACACGATGGCCCGATTTGCCACCCCTAACTAATCCTAACTTTTTTTTATGTGATGTCGACAAGAATGAAACGAAAATTAATAAAAACTTGTTTATATTCGTTTTAGCCGAATAAACGAACAGATAAACAAATGAGTTTTTTTATTTATATTCGTATATTTATGTCCGTGAACATGCTAAGTAAAAATAAGTGAACGAAGATATACAAACATAATTGAACATATATCAACATAAACAAACATATACATTAATAAAAAAATAATTGAACATATATAAACATAAAAAACTTAAACGAACATTCACGAATATAAATGGACAAACAAGATCATGGTCGTTCATTTAACTAAACGAATGATAATTTGTGTTTGTGTTCATTCATTTATTAAATAAACGAGCATAAATGAATATCCAAAGAACGGTTCGTTGAACGTTCAGGTCGTTTACAACCCAACATAAAAAATTAAGTCTTTTTTTTTAAATAACATTTTATTCTAACACTATTTTTTTTTTTTTGCGTTAAAACCAGAATTTCGTACAAAAATCTACTTTTATCCTTATTAATTATTAATAGGTTTTCAGGTTATCATGAAATAAATTCAAAATAAAACCTTAAGTTTATAAATCTTTCCCATTTTTACTTTAAATATGTTTTTCTTTCTTCGCATTATACGTATATATACAGAAAAAAACGTGTTTATATATGAAAAAAAATGTTTGATTAAAAATAGTATTTAAAATTTTAAAATGATATTCCTTTAAGTCGCGATTTCAGTCTCTAATTTGTGGCGCAAATGTTTTTGGTCGTGTCGCGTTTTTCAAGGCGTATTATTTTCTTGTTAAGAACTTAATCCATTAAGACAAGGGTTCAAACTTTCCAAACCCCGTTCTATTAGTGTTCTCAATGAATAAACTTTCCAAGTTTATCCACAAAAAAACTTTATGCAACAAACCCTAACTTCTATGTCAAAACGAAGTCCACGAGTGATAAAATCTCTCTTGCATGTAGCCAAGAGAGTACAAACAGGCATTTTTTCTCCACTAAATGACCAGAATACATTAAGAACTACGTCTAAAGCTTTGGAGTTTCCCAACCTCCAAAAATATCAAGAGAATGAGACCAAAAGTAACAAAAACTAAACCAACACCTTGATCTAAGCAAGAAACACAACAAACAATATACTTTAATATTTACAATGGTCCAAAATGTGTTGAGAATGTTAAGTCTTCTCTGGATTTATGCTCTCTTACACCAAATAAGCTTCATTCTCCTTCAAGCTACACACCAATGTGGCAAAAACTCAAGTAAATAAAGAAATAGAGGCTAGGGTTTCGTAGGTAGTGATTCTTGAGAATGAAGGCTACCAAATGAGGCAACACTAGGGGTTCTTTTCCTTATATAGGGTCTAAGGTCCGAGTTTTTTGAATTTGTGAAAAAAGCAGGCGTCGCACCACGAACCTCACTTAGGTCACGCCACGGCTTAGGGGTTTTCACCGTGTCACGATCAAACATTGTTGCATCGTGTTTTTGCTTTCCTTACAAACCCTCCTTTCTTAAGTACTTTGAATT